ATGTTTCCACGTTGGCCATTGTGTGCAAATATCTTGGTCTTGAACTTTGTGCCATCGAATATACTTATGTGCAATAATCACTATGTACACTTAAATCAATTTGTTAGCAATAAACATAATTTATTTGTGATAATCAAAACGAGAAGTCAACCATAGGTCAACAATTTCCCCATTTCTGATTATGACAAACACATTGATTTGCAATGTATGATTCAAAACAAATTGACAGTTAATATGCACATTCCCTCTATCTATTTTGCATGTATTCCCCCTGTTTAAATATAATCATGCAAATCTCTATTTCTTCCCTCTTTTGGCGTAAACAAAAAGTTCGCAAGCATTGAGAAGCAAGAATAGCAACCAAAGCAGAATATCATTTCATAGACATAATAAAGGTTTAGTACATAATCAAAAGTTCAACCATAGGTTTAAAAGTAATTTAACTACATAAAACAGGAAAACTATGGAGTTTGAGGAGGAGGGTGCGGAAATCGAGAACCAAAGTCGGTAAAGAAGGCGGTCATCTATTCCTGCATAGTGGCCTGTCGTGCAAGGATCATCTCCTGCTATGTGACGAAGCTCACCGCTCATCCCGTCAATGGTCGTAGTAAAAGAATGGATCCGACCGCTCAGAAGTGTAAGCTGATCTTCATCGAGACCCTGTCTAGTAGGTCAAGTAGCTCTCGATCCCGAGGCACCGGTATGAGGGGCACCCTCGTCGTCGTCAAAATCCTCGTTCGGAAACGGTAGGGTGAAGGCCCCGAAGCCGGGTCGAACCCCTTTGTTTCAGACACCCATTGTCCGTCCTTTCTGACGATTTTCATTCTTTTAAGAGTGTTGGAACTAATAGTGTTGGAGGGTCGAGGTTTGATGAAAGCTTTATCGTGAAGTGGAACATCGAAGTGTTGAAAGATTTTAGTGAGTAGCATGCCATAGGAAAGTGCCTTGGATATGCGTGAGGAATGAACGAGTTTTATAAGACCCAAGGCAATAGTCGGGAAATCAACCCGCCGACCGACGAGGAAGGAGTTGAGAAGAAAAATATCAAAACAGTTCACTTCATCCCTATGCCCTTTTCGAGGTAAAATAACTTTGGCGATGCTATTTTGTAAAACTTTGCATGGGAGAGTGAGTTGATTCGTTGAAATTTTGGTTATGTTTTCAAAATCCTTACCCGTTACACAATGACATGCGTCGGTCGAGTTGTATCTCTCCACGGTAGGGTGAGTTTTATGGACAAATTTTTGAATATCACAAAGTTCTAACTCAAGAATGGTGCGAATGAGTGGTTTTGAAATCGCGACTCGAACATTTTTGATAATGCATGAAATGTCTCCCGAACGAGGGGTAATGATCATGTCTTTGTAAAAAGTGGGAAT